TATTGTGGGTTGAAAACCCTATATGCTCACCAGGCTCCCAAGCCTGACCCACTCAGCTTTTTATGTTACAGGTAGTGGACCCCGAGCATAGTCGGATGACGATGAGAGATTTTTGGATTATAGGCCAGTAGTTGTAAATAACTGTTGAAAGGCTTATAATGTCTTGTTTATGCTTTTGATCTGTATCGGAACATGACATCCCGAGGTTTTGATATGAAATGAAATTATATATTTCTTAAAGAAAGGTTTTGACAAACTTTTATCATGTTTTGTTTTGGGGACCAATTCTGCAACATCTTTTAAAAGGATTTCTCTGACATTGTTTTAAAAAGCATAAATTAAATCGGTCTTTTCTGGCCGAGAAATTAGGGGATGTCACAAATTTCACCCAACTTATTATTGACATCATATTAGTAGTCACCAAATACCTTTTATACTAGTTCAGTAACTCTTGGCCCTAACTTTTGTGGAGCCATGGTTAAAACTCCAAATATAACATTCCTAGCAATTTGTATACATTTCATAGAATATAATTAATAATTCTCATCGCCAAGGTAAAATGACATATTTGACCTTTGTGATTGCAGCAAGGAGTATTTGGATCTATCAGTGGTGGTACTTTTGCTTATTTGTTATGGTTTCATATTTATGTAAATTGTAAAATGACAATCCTTGGTCTTTTGTAGATAAAAATTTTTAAATAATATATTCATGACTTGAAGTCTATAACTAGTTCTGATCGCTAGATTGTATTTTGCAATATTTTTATATTCTATAAGGTTTGTTTTATTATCTCATTGATTTATGCTATGGAAGTGTAGGATCTATGGAGAAGTTTTCATACTATGATGCAACAACTTAGAAATTTGGCAATACATACACCATTATGGAGTTTGATTTCTTGAAACCATCAAGGTCATGACATAGGAAAGCCAAGGTAAAATAAATATCTCATCTGATGCAATTATTTACAGCTAGTGTGCATTTGATGATTTGAATCTATCAATTATGCTTTTTTAACTTTTTTTTATTGGATGATTTACCACTTCTTCATTATGTATAATGGTTAACTTGAATTCTTTTTGTTCACAACATAACAACTTTTGACCATTTGACTTACATGTAGTTCACATGTAAATCACAATGAATTACATGTGATTCACATGTAATTCACATATGAATTACATGTGATTCACATGTAATTCACATATGAATTACATGTGATTCACATGTAAATCACAAGTGAGTTACATGTGATTTACATGTAATTCACATATGAATTACATGTGATAGTAAATCACAAGTGAATTACATTTGATTCACATGTAAATCACATGTAATACACATATGAATTACATGTGATTCACATGTAAATCACAAGTGAATATATGTGATTCACATGTATTTACAAGTAAATTACATTTGATTCACATGTAAATCACATGTAAATCACATGTAATTCACATATAAATTACATGTGATTCACATGTAAATCACAAGTGAATTATTTTTGTTCACAACATAACAAGTTTTGAATTCTTTTTTGTTCACATATGAATTTATTATTTTTCTTCATTATGTATAATGGTTAACTTGAATTCTTTTTGTTCACAACATAAAAACTTTTGAGCATTTGACTTACATGTGATTCACATGTAAATCACAAATGAATCACGAATGAATTACATGTGATTCACATGTAAATCAAAAGTGAATCTCATATGAATTATGTCTATATGCATAAATGCATTTTGTATGAGTGTTCTTCGTTAATTATTTTTTTTAATTTTTTTTTTATGAATTTCACATTTGAATTTTAAAAGATACAACCACATGTGAATATCACATTATATAATCACATATGAATCTTACACGATATACAAATATGCATTTTGTGAGTGTTCTTGCATTAATAAAAAAATTTATTTTTCTTGTAGATTTGGAAGAATTTGTGGAAATTATTGAAGAGGTGAAAAGTGATAAATTGAAGAAAATATGGAAATATTGACACGAAGACATGAAAACGCTTTGAAATTTTGTAGCATTTTTTCGTTTTTTATATTTTATTTTGTATCGAATAAAATACTTATTTTATTGTGTTTATTGATTAGTAAATAAAATGAGTTTTCTTATGATTTCCTTACGAATATTATAGTATTTGAAATATGCATTTATGCATTTGTAAAAATATGCACATATATACCTAAAATGTTAATTTTTTTGGTTAAAAAGTTATAGTATTTTTTAAATATTCCAGTTTTTTTTTTAAAAAAAATTATTGATTTTTAAATGCTGTTAAAAAAAGTTGCAGCTTTTTTTTTAAATATATTTTTTCCATTTTTTTTCAAAATTTCATGTTTTCCATAAAAACTTAAAAAATCTGCACTTTAAAAAAAAAATCAAAAAAATACTATTTTTAAAAAAATCTAGAATTTTGATTTATTATGTAAATTTCTAGACATTTCTATTAATATTTGCAATAACACAAAAAATTAAATATTAAATGAGATTCGTAAGATGACAATCATGCCCTTAATGAATTAATTTTGATCTAACGCTCCACTTTTAGTTCTTGGGTTTTCGGGAAACTATGAGTTCTCAACCGATCTCACCCATATATATATATATATATATATATATATATATATATATATATATATATATATATAACATAAAGATCATGTATTCCAGGGACAATTTGGTCATTTTAATATCATGTTTTGTCATGTCCTAGTGCTACTAAACGCTTTACAGATAATCAATTCAGTTCAGTCCAGTGTTGTTCTATCCAGTCCCATCACCAAACGTTACCTCACTAAGAATAGGGACCAAGAATGTTATAAAAGCCTCAAATAAGGACCAAAATCGCAATATAAATTCTTTTGGGATCAAAAGTGGAAAAATCGACTACACCCTAATACCAAATATATAACTTACTATACTTTTAATAATCTTAGATTAATTTACGTTTTTGTGCCTAAGTATATCTGATTTTTCAATTTTGGTCCCTTTTTTTTTTTTTTTTTGCAGTTTTGATCATTATTTGAGGTTTCTGTAATGACTATATTTTTTTATTTGAATTACAAAATTTGGCTATAAGTGGGAACCAAAATAGTCATTTCATTTTACTATGAATAGGAACAAAAAAACGTTACAAAAGTCTTAAATAATGACCAAAAATTCAACTGAATTTTTTTGGGAAAGATGCGAAAATCGACTACACCCCGAGACCAAAAATGTAACTTACGTTTATGTTAATAATCTTAGAGTAAATTATAATTTTGGTCTCTGAGTATAGTTGATTTTGCAATTTTGGTCCCAGAAAGTATTTTCTTGCAATTTTGGTCCTTATTTGAGGTTTTTGTAATGTTTTTTGTGTTTTTTCCAAGTAAAATGGCTTTTTTGTTCCCAAAATAGAGCTGATAAGAATACTAATTAAGACAATAACAAGAAAAATGGAGGATAAGAAGAGAGGGTGAAGTTCTATTGAATCAAACGGGAAAAACCATACAACTTCAAAAACTTCTTCCATTCCAATCCACTAAATAACATTCCTCCAACAAAATATATGCATTTTACTTAGAATACGGACCAACAACATTACAAAATCCTCAAACCAGGACCAAAATTGAAAAAAATGAGCTATAATCAGGGACAAAAATGTAAATTACTCATAATCTTACGTTTCATATCTTCGGGCAGGTGTTAATATAGATGATCCAGTTTCAGAGGTGCTTAACAGTCAATAGGTATAGGTTTGGTCATGTGTTGTATTTGTATGGAAGCCAAGCCAATATGGGATGTTACATTCCCTAATGTTAAAAGAAAAGTAAATTGAAACAACTTTGTTTCTGAACATTTGTCACTCGACTCAGTTGATGATGCGCACACGTATGTTAAACACAAGAAATATCAATGTATTTTTATATCTTCCTATCACAACATTGTACTAAAAAATCTACCAAACAAAGTACAATGTTGTAATAAGAACAAACTAAAAGTATGATGTTGTACTAGAAAGAAATGGAAGTAGGATGCTATGACAGACAAATAAAGGCTAAAGGTTGGACAACTGATAAAGACAATAGTGCATTTCCGGAAGAAATGACCATATTTTTATTTAATTATAGTTTTATTTAAATTCAAAAATATTTTAATATATAAATGATTAATAATTACATATTTCATCTTTTTCAAATACTTCAAAAATTGTTTCATCTTTTTTGTGCACTTTAGATTTCCATCTGAGATTTTTATATCATACAACAGGGGGGAAATGGCCACCCATGGTGTTAGTGGCAAATTTATTGATATTGGGGACTTAAAACCCCTTGCCAAGTTACATTACATTACACAATGAAAAATATGAAGTGAAAATGTAAAACTTATATGACAAACTATTTTTGCAAATTCTCAATAAACACCACCACCTTTACATAAACCCAATCTTTTACATTATCATAAAACCGAAAAAAAAGCATGTCTCCCTTGTTGATTTAGAAGCAAAGCCCAACATGCTATCCAAAATCCAGTAGCAAAACCAGTTCCCCAACCAATATAAAACCATCTCTCAACTTCATCTATATCTTCCTCATCACCCTCACCTTTACCGATAAGAGGTGGTACTTCTGGTTCTTCATCTCCAGGACATTTTTTGGTAAGAGGAGGTCCACATAGACGTGAGTTTCCATTGTATCCTGAAGGTGGAAAGGACTGGAGTTGAGTGCTAGTTGGGATTCTCCCTGACAAATTATTAAATGACACGTCTAGGTCATTTAGTAAACTCATCTGAGACATGCTTGATGGTATCCTCCCTGAAAAACTGTTTCTAGATAAATCCAAAGTCAAAAGATTTTTCATCTCACCAATTTTCTGTGGAATCTCTCCAAATAGAGCGTTCTTTGACAAGTTCAAGGCAATCAAGTCATAAAGATTGGTAATTTCATTTGGGATTTGTCCTGTTAGATTGTTGCTTGACAAGTCAATGCTCTTCAACTGTTTCAGAGTGCTAAATAATTCGCGTTCTTGTCCTTGCCACTGAATCATTGCATGGTCAACATATGTCTCTTGTTCATATGTTGTATAAAGTTGTACATCTTGTGAAATTCCTTGTTGAACCATGCCTGTAAGATTACTCAAACATGAGGGAATAGTTCCATGGAGATTGTTCCTTGACATGTCTAGAATTTGAAGATTAGCTAACTCACATAACTCTAAAGGGATTGTTCCAGAGAAGTTGTTTGCTTTTAGGATAACAACATACAACTCTGAGAATCTTTCCCCAATCCAGACAGGCACATTACCAGAAAACTTATTGGCCCTTAAATTCAACGACTTTAAGCTCGTGCAATTTTTTAAAGACAAAGGCAATTCTCCAGAGAAGTTGTTCTTGTATAAATACAACATCTTGAGTTGTATCAAAGATCCAATAGAGGGAGGAAGGCTTCCAAAGAGATTGTTGTGTCCGAGATTAAGAACTCTTAGGTGTTTGAAATTCCACAAACAGTTAGGGAGTCGTCCGATTAATGAGTTATGAGAGAGGTCAAGAAATGATAAGAACCCATCAACAATTTGGCATATAAAGGAGATCCCTCCAGAGAATTTGTTTCTGGAAAGGTTTAATGTTGATAAAGTAGAAGGAACATTTGGTATTGGACCATAAAATCTGTTGGAACTCAAATCTATCACTGAACTCTGGGCAAAATTTGATGATAAATCTGGTACTTTCCCGCTAATATTGTTGGAGGAGAGATTCAGATGTTGTAATTGAGAAGGCCACATGTCCCAAAACTCCAGAGGAATTGTGTCTGAAATTCCAGTATTGGAAAGATCAAGAAAGGTAAGATTCTTGAATGTCTGAATCCATTTGGGGAAGCGAGACCCTAGCAGCTTGCAAGAGGTCAGATCAATATACTTTACATAAGAAAGGTTTGAAAAGTGATATGTGGAAGGAACTCTAAGATTATTAAAAGACAAGTCAAGAGTTTGAAGCCTAGGTAGTTCCCACAGTTTCTCACTTATGCTTCCATTTAAATGATTATTAGATAGGTCCAAAGATGTTATGGATGAAAACTTTTGGATCTCACTGGATAATGACCCTGTAAATTGGTTTCTTGGAGCATACAACATTTTTAATGAAAGTGATGCGCATCCAGACAAGTTGTTGAGAAAATCAGGAAATTCAACCACTAAAGAGTTGTTGTCGAGACTCAAAGCTTCCAATCTACAGAGATTAATACCAAGATATTTGGGTATCCCATCTAACATGTTGCTAGAGAGATCAAGAACACGAAGCTTATTGGTGGTTAATGGGAACAACCAACGATACATGGATGAGGTGAGATTGTTGTTTCCAAGATAAAGGGATTCAATAGATGAAGAAGAGTTGAAAAATGAAGAAGAATATGGATACACAACATGTGAGAGCTCACATCCATCTAAACTTAAATATGAGAGTTTCCTAAGACTTAGAATTACATCTACCCAATGATTTTGTTTGGCTAGGGAAATCCCATCCATTTGAAGTTCCTCCAAACGATAGAGATGAGACAACCACTCTATGTTTTCAACTCCATACCTTCCAATGGATCCAAGGTAAAGCACCCGCAAATTGGTGAGGTTTCCAAACTCCTGAGGAATGGTTCCATAAAGAGAGTTATAGCGAATGTCAAGGTACCTTAATCGAGTTAAAGAACCAATGAAGGTGGGAATGATTCCATGAAAATAATTTCCAAAAAGATCAAGATGATTCAAGTAGGTTAAATTAAGCAATGAATGGCTTATCTCACCTACAAGACCATAGGAGTCAATATGAAGCCCTGTGACATGACCTGTTTTGTTGTTGCATGTGATTCCACTCCATTTACAGCAATCATGTTGGTCAATTCTCCATGTAGAGAGTGTTAGGAATTGAGACAGGGTACACGCAGCGGAAACACTATCACACACTCACAAACGAAACGAGAAAATAAAGCAATAAAGAACACAAGGATTTTACGTGGTTCGGATTCGGTGTAAATCCTACGTCCACGGGCTGCAACTAGAGAATTTTATTAAAACTCACAAGATTACAATTGGCTTGACACTCTACACTTGATGTTCTCTCAAGTTTTTGCACATAAAATATGCAAAACATACATGCATATATATAGGTATATTTGTGAGCCGCAATATGCACAAGATTGCCGCAAAGATTGAAAAATGCGTAGATTTTTCTTTAGCCGTCCATTGATTATTCCACCGAAAGTTCGCGTCCAATTCAAATGTTCAATTGTTGCGTTCACATTAGAGATAGTGACAATAAATATTAAACAATTGATTCCACCGTCCATTCAACAATTCAATTGTTTTAATTTCCAAGTTTCATTTATGGCCCTTGAACTCTTAGGAACTTGTCAATTTGTTCATGACTCCATAAATCTTAACAATCTCCCACTTGGAGACTTGAACAAATTAGTCTTTCTCCGCCATCCAACTCTCAATTACTCCAGTAATCTTAAAAAACAACCAAGTCCTTCAAGCTTCCAGTTCCAAAGAACAAGCTAAAACTTAGTCTGATTTCTCTAGTTGCAGCCGCCCCTCATCATCAATTTCTAGAAGGGCCAGTTGAAGCTCCCACTAGCTCCAACTCAGCCGTGGCTAATCCCGCCACCAACTCATCCTCTGTCTCAACCGGTTTGGACACTCCACCAGATCCAGAGATACACCGAGGACCACTAACACTCTCCCAACTTTGCAAACATTCAACAGGAGAGAATTTTTCAGTCTTAGTCTTCAAAACCCAACGGCTCTTTGTAACTGTACCCGGAACACGCCCCGTGTTCCCACTGTCACAGAATCTCCTGACTGGTTTAGACTTTCCGACTCGTTCAGCTAACATCCCCTTGGCTCCAGAATTCATGTTTGCAAAATGAACTCTCTTAGCCGTAGATTTAGCGAACCAGATTTTGTCTTGCTTAACAGGGACAGTCATACTTCCCTCAGCAGGTACCTCAACCATATACAATGACCCACACTTCATACCACGAGCAATCACCAGATCACCATTGACCACCCTCCATTTACCACTACCAAACCTTACTTCCAGTCCTTGTTTATCCAGCTGACCAACAGAAATCAATTTCTTCTTCAGCTCCGGAATCACCCTGACATCCTTCAGGCTCCATGTAGTTCCTAATGAAGTAACCAAATCAATATCTCCCATGCCCGTTACCTGAAGCATCTCGTCATTTGCCAAACGTACCTTTCCAAAATCTCCTTCTTTCAAATTCACCATCGTTTCCCCGTTGTCCATGGCGTGAAACGAAGCCCCTGAATCCATGACCCAAGAGTCTACAGAACTTTCCATACTGAGTATCAATGCATCATCCTCAGACACACTCTCAGCACCGGTAATGTTCAATTCTTTCTTTGGACATTGACTCTTAGCATGTCCCACTTCTTGACAGTTCCAACACTTCACATTCTTCTTAGTTCTAGATGAACTTCTTCCCCGACTCCCACTGCTTCCACTATTCCTGCTATTCCCTCTACCTCTTCCGATATTTAATAAATCAGAAGAGGAAGATCCACCTTGATTCTTGCGTCTGATATCTTCGCCAAGAACCAAATCTCTAACCCCTTCAAAAGTCATACCACTGGTCCCCACGGAACTCGTAACAACAGTAACTGTTCCGGACCAGCTATCAGGTAGAGAAGCTAGTAGCAGCGAAGCTTGAGTCTCATTATCAAATTTAATTCCCACAGATGATAATCTGGACAGAATTGAATTTAGATTATTAATGTGAACTGTAACTGAGCCTTCCTCATTCATCCTTGTAGTGAACAACTCCTTCATCAAGAACACCTTGTTAGCCGCCGATGGTTTCTCATACATTTTTGACAGAGCCTCCATCATACCACGCGCCGTGGTTTCATTCATGATGTTGAAAGCAACGCTCTTCGTCAATGACAATGTAATAACCGCCTTGGCTTTCTTGTCCTTTGAGTTCCACGCATCTTCAGCAGCTTTTTCCATTTTCTCCGGTTTGTCTCCGAGTACCATGTCCAAGTCTTTCTGACATAGTAATGCTTCTAATTGCATTTTCCACCAGCTAAAATCAGAACCGTTGAACTTTTCGATTACCACCTTGTCTTCAGCCATTATGACAAACAAGATACAAATCAGGTACACTCGTGCGTGATAAAAAAACGATCGTACCCTCCAAACCTCGCTAACCAGGCTCCGATACCAGTTGTTAGGAATTGAGATAGGGTACACGCAGCGGAAACACTATCACACACTCACAAACGAAACGAGAAAATAAAGCAATAAAGAACACAAGGATTTTACGTGGTTCGGATTCGGTGTAAATCCTACGTCCACGGGCTGCAACTAGAGAATTTTATTAAAACTCACAAGATTACAATTGGCTTGACACTCTACACTTGATGTTCTCTCAAGTTTTTGCACACAAAATATGCAAAACATACATGCATATATATAGGTATATTTGTGAGCCGCAATATGCACAAGATTGCCGCAAAGATTGAAAAATGCGTAGATTTTTCTTTAGCCGTCCATTGATTATTCCACCGAAAGTTCGCGTCCAATTCAAATGTTCAATTGTTGCGTTCACATTAGAGATAGTGACAATAAATATTAAACAATTGATTCCACGGTCCATTCAACAATTCAATTGTTTTAATTTCCAAGTTTCATTTATGGCCCTTGAACTCTTAGGAACTTGTCAATTTGTTCATGACTCCATAAATCTTAACAGAGAGATGACCATTGGGGTCTTGAAGGGGAGCTTTGAAAAGAAGGAGAGCATCTCTCTCATTATCCAAACACTTTTCCATATCATCTCCTCCTAATTGGCTGGTAGTTGTAGTCACAAGGAGTAGCAAGAGAAGTGAGGGAATTATAAAAACACATGGATTCATAATGTAAATGCAAATCTTGTTGATTATTGGATTGTATTGATCATGGGTTTATGCAGTCTCTACTGTGAAGAAGAATGATTCTTCAAATAAGTGGCTTGCTTGTGTGGAGTAATACAATACTTAATTTCCAGGAAATTGAAACCAAACTATAAGACAAACTAAATAAGACACTCAAGTCGTGGCAATTTGTATTTTTATTATAGATGTCTTTTCCCATCTTGTGATATTTTAGAATTTATATTTAATATATACATGTTTTCTCATCTTGTGACGTTTTCGGTCCTCAATTGATGAGATATAAATCCCAAATGACAAACTAATGAAATCATTTACAAATCTCCCCATGAATAACGTGAAACCATATTATTTGGCACTATGGAATGAACTCTTCTCATTTAGATTAACTAAATGGTGAACTTACATGAATGAAGCCAAGTTTATCCATTTGGTACTAATCCACGTTCTCTTTGATTGTGGTTAAATATTTAGCTGAGTTTTCCATATTACCCCTTCTTATAAAACGACTTAAGTTTTCACCAAGTGCATCCAAAACAAATAATTTATTTCAAAATTTTGTACGGTGCATCTACATAAACAAAAGCAAAGGAAGGATTGTAACATATATTTTTCGTTTTAATTTATATAGGATAAATATAGTTATATAAAATATTATATAATTACAAATTATCATGTTCGATCACTTGCGCCCCTCTCCACTCTTCACCCGGTTCAATGGTGATTGGAGCCAACATCGTTGCAGGACCTGTACAAATAAAATACTCCTCTCCATATTTCTCTGATAATGATCCCGGACTTGATACGTAAATTTCTTCAAACCCCATTCTTACCACCCTGAAGAACAATTCTCTTCCCTAAAAATACAAGTAACGATTTATATCATTTTTAAAATTCATATAAACTTAACAAAATCAAAAAAATTGAATTTAGTCTTAAATATATCAAAGATTACCTGATCAATGGTCTCGTATTTTGATGGAGGAGTGTTGTAGAACTCTTTTAATCTCTCCTCAAGTGGAGCTCCATAAACTCTACTAACTTTATGTTTCAAAATTGTGAGTGGCAAATCTTGCACGCTCCAAATTCCTCCTTTCTTCTCAGGCTCCCACCCAAGGGAAAACCAGGCTGGATCTTCTGGTTTTACTGCTTCGGATGGAGAGAGAATCTCAAACTGAGAAGTTAAAGGAGGCTGCGTGCAATATTTGCAACCTTGGAGGCCTTGAATGGCAGTTCCTCCTCTATTTTTAGACTTTAGATGGCTAAGTATAGCGGTTTTTAGGTCAACTGGTTTTCGGCCATTATTTTTTATTATAACTGCGGTTGCCATGCTTAGGGCATAGAGGGAGATAACATAGGTTATGTCAAGAGTTCCACTTGTGGTACAACTCAACTCCATCTGTAAAAATGAAAGTGAAACTGATAAATACGTTATTCTGGCTCATTAAATAAAATATCAATCATGTAATTATATTTGTGTAGTTTTTATGAAATACATCATTTTTTTTAAAAAACTTTGGTTACATTAATTGACATAATTGATCGTTTTAGACAATTTAAGGTATGTTTGGCAAAAATTGCTGATAGTAGAAACTGAAGTTTTTATTTATATATAAATGTTTGAAAAAAATTATAAGCTTTTGAAATATATAAAATTACGGCTAACTAGATGGCTAACTAGATGTTATAAAAAAGAAAAGAAAAAAAAAAAGTTAAATAGGAGTCTTGGTCTCTTGACTCTTGGACCATAAATTATAGTAGCATTATCCACCTATATATACTTCATTTAACAAATAACTAAATAATCTTATTTTTCATCAATATTATCGTGTTCAAAAATAAAAAGTATTTAAATTATGATTTAAGGTGTTAAATGCGTAACATTATCCAGAAGACAATAATTTACGTTTTAAAAATTTAAAACACAATAAAAAGGTGATGGAACGAAAGAGGAACAATACCTGAAGAGCATCAATGGAGTCGGAATCAGCATCCTTAACGATCCATTCCGATAAATCAACACTTTTAGATTTCGAAGCATCACCAGCTGTATTAATCACTAAACCGATTCCGCCTTTTGCAGCAGAAGTAGTATATAAAACCTCTTCGAATCCATCATTATCTTTCCAGTTTACTTTAGGCTTGTAAGAAGTGACATGAGCATTGTTCAATTGAAGCTTCAACGAACTGCCATTTCTGACTGTCAGTTCTGCGATCTGAGTTCCGTCGAACTCTGAGAATTTGATGCCTTTGCGGCCGAATTTCTGATCAAGCGTCTCTGTAAATGTGGTAACGGAAGGGGTGGTTATGGTGGAAGCGGTTGATTTTGGAATGAGTATGGTTGGTTTGGGAAGAGAGAGAGATAGAAGAGAAGCTGCAGCCATTTGAATTAAGACGATAAAGTGAATCCTATTTTTGCTTCTATTCCTCTTTGTTGGTATCTTCTTGCTAATTTTCTTTTTGTACCCTTCAAGTATTGAAATTCAACAAACTACAAATCTACAGCCATAAAGAGTGACGTCATGTTAGAAGTCAAGCAATGGATTTTTGGACCTTTATATATATATATATATATATATATATATATATATATATATATATATATATATATATATATATATATATATATATACATACATGAATAACTTGAATCAAGATAACAAGTTGTAACAAAACATTTGTTTATGTTTTTGATGTTTAATTTATGATAATGAAATGTTACTATAAATAAACAAATAGTTCAAAACTGAATTTATCTTTAATCAATCTGAAATTTTACTTAAAAAAATAGATTAAATGTTCGATTAGTCTAACCTCTAGTTTAATGATAAGCTTAAAACTACACTCAAAGCATCTCCACGGGGCAAACATATACTATGATTTAACATTATTGTCACCTTATTGTTCTATTAATTTGACATTTAATAAAATAGCATTTATAAAACGATTAACATGTTCCAATAACTTTTTAATTAATTTAAAATATTAATTCGCATCTATTTAAAATGTTCTATAAAACATTCTCATTTAGTTAGCCATTTTTTAAATACATCATATTTACTGCGAAATATTTTACATAAATATTATCACTAGATATTAAAATATAAATGTTTCATAAATGATAAACTATAACAGAAATAATTAATTAGTTAAAGAAATAAAAAAATATATTTAAAGTAAAATAAAAATTAAAGGGTTAACATGAAATATGATTAAAGAAAAAGGATTAGATGTGTAAAACGCTCCACTCGATATATATTGAGTGGTCAATAAAAACAAACAAAAAATTATACCCTCCAATGATAGTAAGTAGTGATAAGTGGTCAACTAAACAGTAAAAAGTTATAGAATAAGCTTTCATTGGAGATGTTTTTACATCAAACCTAAATTGCAATAAGTAAAAGAGTGGAACTGATATACATTTACACCGAAACAAACTATAAACCAATTAAAATTTTACATTATCTAAAATTAGGTTAAAAATAGTCCTAAATCAGTCATAAATTAGTTATTAAGTAATATAATACTTTTCTATTCCTAGTTAATTAAACTTTAAAAAATAATATATACATATATAATATGACGGTTGAATTAAAAAAAAATTATATTTCTTACTGTTGAGGACAAACGAGAGAGGGAGAGAGAGAGAGAGAGAGAGAGAGAGAGAGAGAGAGAGGTGAAATGCCCAACTCAACCTCAGCGCAGTGTCTGGTTTGAGTACTCCTTGCAGCCTAAGCGATTAAGCGATTTTGCAGAGCTACTCTATTTTTCAAAATACAATACCCTAACAAGAGCATTTAACTTGTAATGTCACATAAAATGTTAATATTTTTCATGTTTTATCTTTTCTTGTCTTAAAACATACATAAATACTTCAAACGTATTTTATTTATATAATCAGGTAATAAAAAATAGCATACACTAGGTCAGGAAATAAAAAATTGCTAAAGTTGGATGCTATTATTGGAGTAACAAAGTTGGATTGCAAAATGCACCAAAAACAGCAAATTCAATGCTTCTAAGAGTATCAGAAGAAAGAATTAAATAAAATGCCTCAAGAGACCACATGGGAAAGAAGAGTATTTCTGGCATAAAATTAGAACCACCACCCCTGTATGCTAAAGCTGAATTGATTAAGAGCTTCACAGTAACTCATTCTTCCCAGATAATAATAATAATAATAATAATAATAATAATAATAATAAATTGCAAAATATCACAATTCACAACATAGGAAAGAGAAATATATAGTAAATACAAATTGCCAAGACTTTGTAAGTCTTTGAGTGTCTTATTTAGTTTGTCTTCTAGTTTGGTTTCAATTTCCTGGAAATTAAGTATTGTATTACTCCACACAAGCAAGCCACTTATTTGAAGAATCATTCTTCTTCACAGTAGAGACTGCATAAACCCATGATCAATACAATCCAATAATCAACAAGATTTGCATTTACATTATGAATCCATGTGTTTTTATAATTCCCTCACTTCTCTTGCTACTCCTTGTGACTACAACTACCAGCCAATTAGGAGGAGATGATATGAAAAAGTGTTTGGATAATGAGAGAGATGCTCTCCTTCTTTTCAAAGCTCCCCTTCAAGACCCCAATGGTCATCTCTCTACATGGAGAGTTGACCAACATGATTGCTGTAAATGGAGTGGAGTCACATGCAACAACCAAACAGGTCATGTCACATGGCTTCATCTTGACTCCTATGGTCTTGGAGGTGAGATAAGCCATTCGTTGCTTAACTTAACCTACTTGAATCATCTTGATCTTTCCAGAAATTCTTTTCACGGAACCATTCCCACCTTCATTGGTTCCTTGAGAGAATTAATCTTTCTTGATCTTTCCTATAACTCTCTTTATGGAACCATTCCTCCAGAGTTTGGAAACATCACCAACTTGCAACGCCTTTATCTTGGATCCATGGGAGGATTTAGAGTTGAAAATCTAGAGTGGTTGTCTCATCTCTATCGTTTGGAGGAACTTCAAATGGATGGGATTTCCCTAGCCAAACAAAATCATTGGGTAGATGTAATTCTAAGTCTTAGGAAACTCTCATATTTAAGTTTAGATGGATGTGAGCTCTCACATGTTGTGTATCCATATTCTTCTTCATTTTTCAACTCTTCTTCATCTATTGAATCCCTTTATCTTGGAAACAACAATCTCACCTCATCCATGTATCGTTGGTTGTTCCCATTAACCACCAATAAGCTTCGTGTTCTTGATCTCTCTAGCAACATGTTAGATGGGATACCCAAATATCTTGGTATTAATCTCTGTAGATTGGAAGCTTTGAGTCTCGACAACAACTCTTTAGTGGTTGAATTTCCTGATTTTCTCAACAACTTGTCTGGATGCGCATCACTTTCATTAAAAATGTTGTATGCTCCAAGAAACCAATTTACAGGGTCATTATCCAGTGAGATCCAAAAGTTTTCATCCATAACATCTTTGGACCTATCTAATAATCATTTAAATGGAAGCATAAGTGAGAAACTGTGGGAACTACCTAGGCTTCAAACTCTTGACTTGTCTTTTAATAATCTTAGAGTTCCTTCCACATATCACTTTTCAAACCTTTCTTATGTAAAGTATATTGATCTGACCTCTTGCAAGCTGCTAGGGTCTCGCTTCCCCAAATGGATTCAGACATTCAAGAATCTTACCTTTCTTGATCTTTCCAATACTGGAATTTCAGACACAATTCCTCTGGAGTTTTGGGACATGTGGCCTTCTCAATTACAACATCTGAATCTCTCCTCCAACAATATTAGCGGGAAAGTACCAGATTTATCATCAAATTTTGCCCAGAGTTCAGTGATAGATTTGAGTTCCAACAGATTTTATGGTCCAATACCAAATGTTCCTTCTGCTTTATCAACATTAAACCTTTCCAGAAACAAATTCTCTGGAGGGATCTCCTTTATATGCCAAATTGTTGATGGGTTCTTATCATTTCTTGACCTCTCTCATAACTCATTAATCGGACGACTCCCTAACTGTTTGTGGAATTTCAAACACCTAAGAGTTCTTAATCTCGGACACAACAATCTCTTTGGAAGCCTTCCTCCCTCTATTGGATCTTTGATACAACTCAAGATGTTGTATTTATACAAGAACAACTTCTCTGGAGAATTGCCTTTGTCTTTAAAAAATTGCACGAGCTTAAAGTCGTTGAATTTAGGGGCCAATAAGTTTTCTGGTAATGTGCCTGTCTGGATTGGGGAAAGATTCTCAGAGTTGTATGTTGTTATCCTAAAATCAAACAACTTCTCTGGAACAATCCCTTTAGAGTTATGTGAGTTAGCTAATCTTCAAATTCTAGACATGTCAAGGAACAATCTCCATGGAACTATTCCCTCATGTTTGAGTAATCTTACAGGCATGGTTCAACAAGGGTTTTCACAAGATGTACAATTTTATACAACATATGAACAAGAGACATATGTTGACCATGCAATGATTCAGTGGCAAGGAAATGAGCATGAATTCTTTAGCACTCTGAAACAGTTGAAGAGCATTGACCTGTCAAGTAACAATCTAACAGGACAAATCCCAAATGAAATTACCAATCTTTATGACTTGATTGCCTAGAGATTCCACAGAAAATTGGTGAGATGTAAAATCTTTTGACTGGTTTTGCTACTGGATTTTGGATAGCATGTTGGGCTTTGCTTCTAAATCAACAAGGGAGACATGCTTTTTTTCGGTTTTATGATAATGTAAAAGATTGGGTTTATGTAAAGGTGGTGGTGTTCATTCAGAATTTGCAAAACTAGTTTGTCATATAAGTTTTATTTTTTCACTTGTTATTTTTCATTGTGTAATGTAATGTAACATGGCAAGGGGTTTTAAGTCCCCAGTATCAATAAATTTGCCACTAACACCATGGGTGGCCTTTTTCCCTGTGTTATATAAGATAAGACATCCCAGATGGAAATTAGAGGTGATCAAAAAAGATGAAACAATTTTTGAAGTATTTGAAAAAGATGAAATATTTAATTATTAATTATTTATATATTTAAATATTTTTGAATTTTAATAAAACTATAATTAAATAAAGATATAGTCATTTCTTGGGGAAATGCACTATTGTCTTTATCAATATCATGCCTGTGCGCATCATCAACTGAATCGAGTGACAGATGTTGAGAAACAAAGTTGTTTCAATTCACTTTTCTTTTAAACATCAGGGAATGTAACATCCCATATTGGCTTGGGCTTGGCTTCCATACAAATACAACACATGACCAAACCTCCACCTATTTACTGTTAAAACACCTTTGAAACTAGATCATCTATATTAACACCTACCCGAAGAAATGAAACATAAGATTATGATTTTTTGCATTTTTTATCCCAAAAGCATTTTTGTTTCAATTTTGGTCCTTATTTGAGGCTTTTATAACGTTTTTGGTCACCATTCCTAGTAAAATGACGATTTTGGTCCCTGATTATAGCCGGTTTTTGCAATATTGATCCCAAAAGTATAGTCATTTTACTTGGAACAGGACCAAAACATTACAAAAACCTCAAATATGGATAGATATTGAAGGAGAAAACTTTCTGGTACTAAAATCTATAAATCAGCTATAATCAGGTACCATAAATGGAAATTTCTCTTAAAATCATAAAGAATACGATTAAATTAGTTTAGCTGACCTTTCTTAGAATCATGCTATTAGATCGAAAGTTTGCTGTTTCTCCACCTCTTTCAATTCCTTTTTAAGATATTTTGTTATTTAAAAACTTTTCTAGTTAAGAATCATTGAAGCAAATACCTTTGCATCATCATCTGGATTGTTTTTTTATATGCAAGCCATGAATCTGTCACCTAACAAGTTAAAAGATGGTCAGAATGAAAATATTGTAAATGTATGAAATAAGGAATAATCATTTTACTTACTGTAAATCCAACCTAGCTAATGGAGGCAATGTTTTAGGATAATCTTACATCATACATTCTAACCTGGTAGACAATTTGAATGCATTTTTTTTGAATCCTTGTATCTATAAATCCAAAATGTAGAGATGATTCCATAAAGAAAGAAGCTAGGTAGAGTCAATTTACATGGGACAGAGACCAAAAACATTATGAAACCCTGCAAGAGGGAGCAAAACTGAAAAAGAAAATACTTTTTGGACCTAAACCAAAAAAGCTGCAAACCAAAGGGACCAATTTTGTAATTTAGTCTTGAAGCAACAGTCAAAATGGGTTTGAGTCAAATATGACAATTTTTAGTCAAGTGGTTTGACAAATTTTTGACAATCGCTATTATAAATACACCTTCATTTTGGAATAAGAAGGGTTTTTTATCTGTATTGAAGTTTGCTAAAGTACTATAACGATTTAAGAACTATTCAGAAGTAGAAAACATCGTGAACTCAGGTCAAATTTCCTTACAAAATTCGATAAATTCAGTGCAACAGTAATGGATCTAATTAGAGCCTCAATGTATGATCTAACAATAGGAAATGCACAAATCCCATCTACAGCAACATATTTGCAAGCTCTATTGATAATGCAAAAACAAATTCATGAAATGAAATGATAGCGTAAAAGCACATCAACAAACAGAACTGTGAACACACCTGGTCCAGGGAGAAAATTGAAACAGAATTGTGTACACACCTGGCCTTGAGAGAAAATTGAAAGGTTTTTTTTTGGAGATTTGGAGGAGATGTGGAGAGGTTATTGATTTGAACATTGGCTGGTTTATTAATGGCGTTATCTACAGCTGAAGAAGCCATGAAATCTATAAGCAATAGAACTCGATTCTGATAGGCTTTAAGGGGGTGTTTGGCTTGTTTCGAGGCAAAATCCTTTTTGAAAAACATAAAAGGAAAGATGTTTGGTAAAAAAATTTTAAAAACTATGTTTTGGATTTTTATACAAGAAAACTGATTTTTTGGAAAAGTTAGAAAAACCTAATTTTTTGTAACTTTTCCAAAAATGATTTTTGTCTCTCAAAAAGACAAGTCAAACACCCCCTAAGTTTTTAACATCGGGTGGTAACTGCAATCAGATGGGCGAACACGATGACTTAAAACCGAATGGTTCTGAATTTATACTCTGGTAAATACTTGTTTCCAGAGTGATAATTCTAATATTCAAAGAAATTGTTCATTTATGTTGTACGTTATGAAATAATTATTGTACATTGTGTATCATTTTTGGTCAAAACCAAATTCATTAATTTTGGTTTTTGATTTTTAGAATATATTGAATTCGGTTTCTTAATAGGTTCGAGATCTCAAATTTTGGGTCCGTTTCTCTAGGTTTTATGTTTAAACTCATGAGTTTTGGGTTTTAACATATTTTTCAGCAAATATAAACAAAGTAAATCAAATTCATTTCTACTGTTCTATAGTTTAAAATCAATTAAAAACACCAAAATCAACTAAATAGTTCATGGAAGTATTAAAAGGTTATTGACATAGTTGTCCATGTGACTACTTTTTATGCATTAATGCCCTATTATTTGGAAAGATTTATTTAATTTTTCCATTTTACCTTCTAAGCACGTCACCCGCCTATTAAGTTTTGCAAGTTTTGGCGGTGTTTTGTCCCTATGACAATTTTTGATGCGATAATGAGAAGATTTGTTCATTTTTGTTATTTTACCTTCTAAGTAGGCCACCCATGTTGGGTTTTGAGGATCTTAGCCACAAAGGCACATACAGTGGAAACATGAAATTACAGAAAAACAATAACTCATGATCCAAAAGTCGGATCCATGTTCAACCAGTTAATGCAACAAAATAATTAACTATAAAGAGGGAAAGAGAACACGTACATTTGTAGCCTCTGATTTATTCTTTCTCGTCAGTTGAGCGAATGGATTAGAACCCAAAGAATGATTTCTCTGATGTAATCGTACCCAAGGAAGTCAAAACAACAATTTGGACACTTTTGGAATCAAACCACTAACAGAAACTGATTTTGTTCTTTAGGCGCATCGTAGCTATCAAGAAGCGTGTTGCACTCTTCGATTTTCTTCTGGGTTTAGAGAGAGGAGAGCATGGCTGCCAAATTTAAGAGGGTTTATTCACTTGGAATCACCATCATCTTTCAGCCAAAAACCCATCTACATATAGGGGAGGATTAAGTATCCTTATTAGAAAATAACTCTATTATCTAGTAATTATCTATATGACAAGTATTTATCCAAAAGATTTGAATTTTAAATCTTTACACTTTAGCCCATGATAATCTACAAGATTCAGTTAATTAATTGTATATTTAATTAATTAACAAACTAGATCCATATAATTCTCTTGTGTCATTAATTGCTCATTTATGTCCTTGCATATAACCCAAAGGGACTCTCTTATAATAGTAATAGTATCAATGTTGTGACTGTGGGAACTATTTCCAATAGTCTCCCATTTACACAAGTCATTCAACATTATTTGGTCCAACATTCACTAATAATAGACAGAGAGTGTGCAATTCTATACAACTATTGTACTTATTGCAACTTAGCAATAAAACAACTCTTAGACTAGTGATAACATATTCATTTACTATTCAAGATATCTATATAAACCTGAGTCATGGATAACATGTCAATCTCGGTGTTCAAGATTATGTTTCCCGGTTGAAATTTGTGATGATCATATTCGACTAACTGTTGATTAGATTAACCTAGTCTCAGCTTGGCCAAGCATCTAATTGGCAGTCACCAAATCTGTAACACTCGTTCCAGGTATCATCTAATTTTCCAAGTTTTAGGGTTTTATGCTAGGACTCGACGAGTTGGGGAGCTCCAACTCGTCGAGTGGAGATCATTTTATGAGGACGCGGGATTTAAATCCTACTCGACGACTCGGAAGGCCACGACTCGACGAGTATGCGTTGTAAAGGAAACCCCTAATTTTTAGGGTTTGCACCCTATATAAAGGACTTAATCTGCCTATTGTGGCCTCCCTTACCACTTCATTACCCAGAGAAGAAACCCTAGCCGTTCTTTGCTGCTTCCTTATGCTTGAGGGGCTAAGAGAGTGTTTTTGGTGCAACTTGTTGAAGAAGTTTGAAGGTTGAGAAGCATGGAACGGGAAGGAGCTTGTAGATCCAACATCTACATCGTTTGGGCTTCCATTTGAAGGTAACAAGCTGTTACCTTGGTCATTCTAGCATTAGATCCCCTTTTTCTTGGGTTTAAGGTCATTTTTAGTACATTTGTAGATTATTTCGGGTATTGGGCATGATCTGAAGTTGTAACTTCAGATCTGGACTCCTCTAAGTCCTTAGAGTTATAAAGTTACTGAAAACATCAAGATTTGGCCCTTCTCTTTGGTTTAAACCCCTCCCTTAGCTTGGTTTTGGCATTAAGAGCTTGCATGCACGTAAAGTTTGCAACTTTACGTGGAAACCATGCCCTAGGAGGCTAGATCTGCATTTTGGAGCTTTGGGGTAGCTTAAAAATGTCTGAACACAAAAAGGACTGAAGGGATTCGTCGAGTTCCTTAGCCAACTTGACGAGTCGGGTAAGGTTTACCCGTTTTCGAGATTCGGAGTGATTTCGGTGAAGGATTAGAGTTTGCGGTCTACATGAGTTTTCGGTCTTCTAGACATTTAGAAACTCGATGAG